CGAGACCCCTGGCGTCGGTAAGGGCGGCGCGCCAGGTGTTGGTGCGGACAGGCAGGTGCTGCACGGAGCCCAGGGCTGCCTCCGGGACACCAGGCCGCCGCAGGAGCGCGCGTGGGGCGACCTGTGAGGGAGCCGGACGGACGTGTCGCCCTGCCGGAGTGGGTCTGCTGTGACGGGTCTCCCGCCAGAGGACTGCCCCGCCTCCCGGCTGTCACAGCAGCCACCGCCGCTTCCTGGGACAGAAAGTTTTGGTTTCAAAATTAGTTACCACTTCTCCATCAGAAGAGACTGTGACCAAAGTTACCATCAGAAGAGACTGTGACCAAAGTTACAGAAAGGAAGACAGCCAGACATGGTGTGACTCAGAATAAAAGAACATACACGCACGTGCACGCACACATGCACACACATGCACGCACACACATGCACACATATGCGCGCACACACACGCACACACATCTGGTCAAGCACTTAGAATCAGTGGTTCTCAACCTTCCTAATGCCGTGACTCTTTAATACAGTTCCTCATGTTGTGGTGACCCTCAATTTCATTGTTTCAAGTTGAACATATTAAAGCATAGTGATTAATCACAAGAACAATATGTAATTATATATGTGTTTTCTTCGGCGACCCCTGTGAAAGGGTCGTTCGACCTCCAAAGGGGTCGCGACCCACAGGTTGAGAACCGCTGACTTAGATCCAGCTGCTGGCGTGCAGGAAATAGGACAGGGGCGCAGGTTAAACTAACCACAGGGATGCCGTCAGCAAGATCCTGACTGTGGGGACCTCTATAAGTTCTTTAATAAATAAAATGCAAGGCCAGCAGTGGGGGGGGGATAAAGGAGGGGGGACCTATATATTAAAAGGGACTTAAATGACCTATCAACCAGTTGCAATGCACTGACCTTATTTTGATCAAATGGTCAAAGTTTATTTTTATTTATTTTTTAAAAATATATTTTATTGATTTTTTACAGAGAGGAAGGGAGAGCGATAGAGAGTTAGAAACATCAATGAGAGAGAAACATCGATCAGCTGCCTCCTGCACACTCCCCACTGGGGATGTGCCCACAACCAAGGTACATGCCCTTGACGGGAATCGAACCTGGGACCCTTGAGTCCCCAGGCCGATGCTCTATCCACTGAGCCAACCGGTTAGGGCAATAAGTTTATTTTTTTTTAAACCGACAGGAGATAATTTAATTCAAATGTTGCTTGGATACGTGGCAGTATTAAGAAATTGCTGTTCATTTCTTTAATGTGATAATAGTATTATGGTTCTATTTGTTTTTAAGTCTATATCTTTAAGCGGTTCATACAAGGGCATAACCTCACTAAACTAAAAACAAACCAATAAGTTGTGGCACAGTCCTCCTCAGTATCCTGAGAGATTGGTTCCAGGACCCCTTGGGATACTGTACACTCAAGCCCCATATATAAAATGGTATAGTATTTGCACAAAACCTACATAATCCTCCTGTATACGTAACTCATCTCCAGATTACTTAACATGCCTAATCCAATGCTATGTAACTAGTTGTTACACTGTATTGTTTAAGGAATAATCACCAGAAAAAAATGTACATGTTCAGTCAGTAAAAAGTATTAAAATACTTATTTTCAAGTATTTTTAATCCTTGATTGGTTGAATCCGAAGGAGTGGAACCTGTGGGTACGGAGGGCTGACTATACATGCAATTAACCATACCGTGTTGTACTATACCACCAGTCAAAAGAATGAGGAAGTTCTTTATGTGTCAATATGAATTAACCTCCAAAATGTACTATTAAATGCAAAACACCAGGTTTGGGGGTGTGTGTATGTATAATACACATATATGTTTCCTTGCATATGCATGAAATATGTTTAGAAAGACACCCCAAAATGATTACATTGTAGGAGAGTAAGTGGGAGTCTAAGGGCAAAGGTTGGGAGGGAATGTTGTTTTTTGTTTTTAAATTGCTTTTTAAAAATATATATTTTTTTTATTGATTTCAGGGAGGAAGGGAGAGGAAGATAGAAACATCAATGGTGAGCAAGAATCATGGATCAGCTGCCTCCTGCATACACCACCCCTCCCCCCCCCCCCCCCCACATCGAGACCACAACCAAGGCATGTGCCCTTGACCGGAACCTTGACCGGAAACGAAAATGGGACCCTTCAGGCCTCAGGGCGAAGCTTTATCCCCTGAGCAACACCAGCCAGGGGAGAAGGGAAAGTTTTTATTTACACCTACCTCCCTTTTCCTTACCTTTTAAATTTGAAAGGAATGTGGATTTTGACATTCTAAAGAGAAGGAAAAGAATTTGGCTTTAGCATTCCTGTGTGGATTGACAAATATTTTGATGACACAGGCATATTTAGTTAGGAATTTTACAAGTTCTGCCTGGCCGGGACAGCTCAGGGATTGAGCCTCCACCTATGAAGCAGGAGGTCACCATTTGATTCCTGGGCAGGGCAAATGCTTGGGTTGCAGGCTCGATCCCCAATGGGGGGGGGTGGGGGAGGGAGCCAAACCATGAATCTCTCTCATCTTTGAGGGTGGTGGCTCTCTCTCCCTCTCCCTTCCTCTCTGAAATCAATCAAAAAGCTTTTAAAAAAGGCCTTAAAGTCATCTTTGAGGTTGTTGCCTCTCTCTCCCTCTCCCTTCCTCTCTGAAATCAATCAAAATGCTTTTAAGTTCTTAATGTGTTATCTAGGTTTCACACCTCTTCCTTATTCTTGCCAGGTGATTTGTCGTTGGGCCATCATACCAGTTATTCTAGAAAGACGCTGCTACCCAATCTGCTGTGAAAAGCTAAGGTGAGTCCCAGTAGTTCCAGATGCCAATAGGAAATTGCGAGTGAGGTAAGCAGATCATACTTCTGCAATCAAGGTGTCCTTCCGTGCACATTTTTCGTTTTCCAATTGTTTGATTGTTTGAAAATGATAATATTGGTAAAGGTCCTTGGGTTTCCTAACAACGTGAACATATTGTGTAGGATATGGAACTAAAGGTTCCACCCTCATCTACCTTCCGCAGACTGGGGCGGCTGCTGCAGCCTTTCTCTTCCTGCTTCTGTGATGTCCTGGTGACTGGAATGAAGAGGTGGTGCTGGGACAACCGGTCCCACTTGTGTCACCCTCACCCTGCCGCACAAAGTCCTCTGTGACCTCTTTTCTGAACATCTACATTCTAGACCAGTGGTTCTCAACCTTCCTAATGCCGCGACCCTTGAATACAGTTCCTCATGTTGTGGTGACCCCCAATTTCATTGTTACAAATTGAACATAATGAAAGCATAGTGATGAATCACAAAAACAATATGTAATTATAGATGTGTTTTCTGATGGTCTTCGGCGACCCCTGTGAAAGGGTCGTTCGACCCCCAAAGGGGTCGCGACCCACAGGTTGAGAACCACTGTCTAGACCAGCCGTGGGCAAACTACGGCCCGCGGGCTGGATCCGGCCCGTTTGAAATGAATAAAACTAAAAAAAAAAAAAAAAAAAAAAAAAAAGACCGTACCCTTTTATGTAATGATGTTTACTTTGAATTTATATTAGTTCACACAAACACTCCATCCATGCTTTTGTTCCGGCCCTCCGGTCCAGTTTAAGAACCCACTGTGGCCCTCGAGTCAAAAAGTTTGCCCACCCCTGGTCTAGACAAAGTGGGTCAAGCACGTATCCAAGCTCTTCCTGCGCATTTTGTTCTGAGCCATTTCTTTACCAGTCCCATCTTTACAGAAGGGGGTGAGGTTAATGTGTGTGATTGCATTGCATTGAAATTTGGAATCGTTTTGGAGCTGGAAGGAATTTTGAAAAGAGAACCAGTATTCTTCCTGGCAGAGAAGAAAAAAAAATTAGTGGTCATGAATTTTGTACTGATTGGCAGCATAGATAAAGCGACTGTGGACCAGTGAGGGCTTCAGGCCACATCCGCTAGGACTGCCTCCTCCTTAAGGTCACAGGTTCTAGAAGTCCTCACAATACTTGCTACCTGTATGCCTCGGGTGGAACCATTGCCTCCTCCACGCCCAGCCTTTTCCAGATGTTAAGTTCTGTAGGTTACTCTTAACATGAGGGATTTGGACACTGATCACTTCTAGTGGATATATAGGGTGCTCATCTATATATTATTCCTAAGTTTGGAATGGATGTGATCTAGTTTCGTAGCTCCCAGCTATTGTGGAATTTAGTGTAGTGGATGTAGCAGGAAGTACAGCAGCTTTGGGGGCAGGTAGGTCTGGCACCGTGGACGTGTTGCTTAACCCAAATTTAAACTCCCTGCAAAGAGAAAAACCCACTTCATAGAGCAGCTGTGAGGACTCAGGTCACATGTAAACCCCCACGCGACTGCTTCAGGAGGAGGCAGCTAGCTGTTCCCATGGCACTTGTGGGAAGGGGAGCTCCACAACCCTTTGCACACGAAATACAAAGAAAACAGGCAGCGCTGGTAACAACACCTTTATTTCCGTACCCTGTTGTGTGACTGGGAGGTGTTTTTCACTTTCCAATGATTGAATTCGGTTATAACAATGAAAATTCCAGAAGGTAAACGGGTCATTTATTGCTGCTCGTGAGCATAAGTAAACAGACATGGTACCACATGAAGGAGTTTCGAACACTTCTAGACTCTTGGTCTAAGTTTTGAATATGGACCGCTATACTTTGGCCGTGGACCTAACAGATTACCAATATGCTTCTAAACCCCATCAATTCACTTCCGACACAATAGGAAAAGCTAGGATTTTCTTTTTTTCTTCAGAAATTGAACAGGTTTTTAGGGAGCTGACAAAGGCCAACAAGACTTGAGCCTATCATATTTATCATGATTATACGTATATTGCTATTAAAAATAAAATCAGGGTACACAGCAACCAACTAATTGCTAGTTTCATTTTGTAGATCACTTTAGCATCTTTGAAAAATAATTTGCTTTAGAATTAGAGGCTATAGGATTTTGTTACATTTAAGTCGTTTTAACTTACTAATCTTTTGTGGACTAGTTAATTCAGAGATCCCAAGCCAAAGAATTGGATGGCATATCGAATTGGATTTTATCCTAGAAACAGCTGTTTGCAAGAGGCTGCATTATATAGGACCTTTCCTTTCAGAATGTCTTTTATTCCTGGCTTCAAATCTTACTATCAGCATATGACACTTGTAGACGGTTTGATTAAGTGTTAACAAACTGGTACTCATGCCTAGAGCAGGATATAAAAACGTGCTGATCACCAAGTATGAGATTTTACATTACATTAAAATTATACACTGGTGGACACCGATAAGATAGGGAGTTCCTAGATCCTAGAAAATATTATGGCTAAGGAAATAGAGAACTCAAAAAAGGGAATCACGTCCAAGAAACTGATTCAGTATAGTAAAATAGAACTGAGTGCCCTGTCTTAGGAAAAAGTTTATTAATAATAAGGGACAACTGGGACATCATACATCATTTCTTTGGAGCTTAAAGTGCAGGCTATGAAATGGCATAGAAAATAATGCATAAAATAGTGCAATCTTAAGGTGCCATTGTTTTTATTATACATAGCCTATGTTTACATGTCCATTTTCTCTCAAAAATCCAGCTGTCGTGACACCTTTTAGCTTATTTATTTAGGCATTATTTATACCTTTACCCACCTTTGGGGCTACATAGAATATCTTAACATTTTAACAAGTAGAATAGAGCGTACATCTCGGAACTACTAAACAGAGATTAAGGCAAGCCCCTATAAAGTTCAACACTCCAAAAAACATGGTTTACAAAAAGAAGTTGCTTCCAAAACCAGTGGCTTCAGACTGCATGGCACCCCAGTCGTTTTTAAAGCACGATTACTCTGAATACACTCATGTTTGCCCAAAAGAGCAGCTTAAAAAAACAGCAGGTTCTCTAACCTCAGGTTCCGAAAGAACTCATGTTTCAGCCCATGTGGAAACCAAGTCCATGTAGAAGATAAGCCAAGGACCCTGTGGGGGACAGTCTTCTTTTTCTCTTCTATATGCCTTTTCACCTTGGATCTGTCTGTACTCTTGTACCATAATCACCTTGTAAGTGGGAATGACCCATTAAAATAGAGACATCTCCTCTGAAAACCAGCCAAGGGAGATGACAGGAATATTTCATGAAACGTTGTTCTAGGACATTAACATTGCGGCATTTACATTATTGACGTAGGATCCAGGCAGGATGGTTCTCTCTCTGGGAGGCTAGTTTACAATTTACCTACAACATACGTGTTTAAGCTGATCCAAAGGATTTGTGATTTGTTGAACCTTAAATACCATTATGCTATCCAAAAGCAAGTATAAAAACTACCAAATCGGTCAAGACAATACCATAACATGTTTTAACTAGATGTTCTAAGTAAGATTTAAGACTTAAACAAACAACAGAACTGTAGTGTTTTATTCTCCGACTGTTATGGAACATTCATGCATTAACAATCGCAACTCATTAATCTTACGGACAGGTGATTACAAGTGTACACTGTAGAAATTTGGATTTCAAAACAAAATCTACCCTCTAATGTGTAAAAGCTTGTAATGAAAGCCAAATACTCGTGTTTGCTAATGGAAGACTACAGATACATTTAGGGTATCTAGATCGTTTCTAAAGAAACCCAGGCAACTTGAAAGAATTCATTAACAACTATTAAAGAAACCATCTGAGGTTATATCCCTTTGATGCATAAGAATCATACTTTGTAAACCTGTAAACATGTACTTTGTTACTTAAAAAAGTCTTCCTATTACCAGGAAAGCAGACTATTAAAGGCCATGAATATTCCAGTAGGCCTCTTCCAAAGTTATGACAATATGGCTAAATCCTATGATTACAAAAAATGAGACCTGCTGAGGAAATGAGTTCCAGACAGGGACTTTTACGGATGACCTTGGCTGACAAACCTTTTTTGGAAATTGTTTATTTTAAAATTACCTCCCCAATAAACCATGAAACACTTGGAGTTATTTTATGGTTTTTTCATTGAAAACATACTACATCGTAAATGGAGTTTCAAAGTTAGACATAGAATTGATCAAAATCTAAGGACAATATTATGTAAGGACAATATAAAAAATGGGTCAGAAAAAATTCCATTTGGTGAGGTTAATCTGAAGGATGCAGAACCATGTCGTTGGACGGATAAAAAAAGGTGACAACTTTGTGCTTTTATTCAACTAAGGTACTTACCAAAACCTTAGGTTTTATATACAGGTACTAATTCCCACCTGGAAAGGGACAGTTTTCTACATTACACCTAAATTTATTTTAAATAACTGAAGCCCAGGGCAACAGTTGTTTAAAACAACAGTCAAATAATGACATAACTTAGTACATTAAAATAAAACTAGAACAGTAACATCTGAATGTCTCAAAAATATACAACTGGGGAAAATAACCACTGTGCACAATTTGGAGGCTGTTAAAGTGACCACTTAGAAGGCTGAACAGTGCAAGACATGCTTTTCCAGTTACAAGCTCAACACAGGAGTGCAAACGAAATTAAAGCTTTTGTTTAAAGTTGAGGACAAGGAAAGCTTGAGATTAATATTAAAAAGCTTCCCTCCGGTTATCCCCCAGAAATGAAATGACCAAAATGCTTTTTCGTAGTACAGTGTTCTTCAATGAACTTTCTTCCAATGGCAAAACTGCATCCCACAGGTTGGGTCCCCTACTCACCCCACTGGTCATCACACTTGATCAAGGAGCACACACAGTGGTGAGTAAGGAAAGTACTAGTAACCAGAGGTCTGATATCGCTAGAGAGAGCCTTGGACTTGGGGTTCTGCCTTAGCCAGTGTACCTGGACCCTACAGAGAACAGATAAAGCAATGGGCTTTAATGCTCCATTGTTCCTGTAAAACTGGAGGACAAATGGACTCACAACCCCCTCCCCCAGAGGCCAGCTGTTGTGGTGGACGATGTTAAGTGCTTAAATGAACTCAGCCGCTGCTCTAACAAGTGGAGAAGTGTAGAGGTTCAAGATCAATACCAGTGCAAGAGCTTTTTAAGTGAGTTGCCTAGGCAATGCATGCATCCATCCATGCAAACGTACGACGTGGCCCCAAAGAGAACTGGAAACATGATATAACTGCATAAATCCCTTGCCAGTAGTTTATAAAAATATATCGTCAGTACTGTAGAGGCCCCTTCTACAGTCAATACTATGGAAGTCCGTTTCAGTTACCCATTACTTCAATACCAAAAAGCATTTACTACTTTTCAGACGTTCCAGACAAAGGTCACTTATAACAAAAAGTCAACTTTTTTTTTTTAAACA